ATATCGACCTTGAGCCAGAATACCACAAGTATTATCCTTTCTTTATCGTATGGAAATGAATCAAACCAAATTCTTAATGATAAACAGGTTAAGATAGATTTTGCAAAATCTATATCATTAATATCTCTTGATTCGATTATTTATACATGTAACAAAAGTTTAATTTCACGGGATAGCTATAGAAACCTGGCAGCAATTTCACCTTCTTTAAAACGAGAACATATTGTGGCTACACGACGTAATGAAATTAATAAACTTATGGAAAAAAAAATTCCAATTAAAAGCTTTAAAACCAATAGTGAGATCAAAATTTCGACTATTTATCCTGCTTTAATTGAGAGCAACGAAGAAACATTTATTAATCAAACTCAACTTGGAAATGGTGCAATGCGATCATTAACTGCATTGTTAATTACACTTATTCCAGATTTAACTGCAGGTGATAATCCTGTTTTAAACAAAAATGATATTATTAAAATTAAATTAAGTAGAGATGGGCGAGAAGTAGGTCACATAGCAATCATGTAATGCTAACAGCATGTATTCTTAATGAAGGTAATAAAGTACTTAGTCCTAAAAATCAGCACTGGTAAGTAATTAAATTTAATATATTTTTTTAAAAAAAAATATATCGATATATATAAATTAATAAAAATTATTATACTTAGTATTGGTCTCTACTCTGGAACAGAAAAATATGAATCATTAACAATTGCTTATCAACAAATTATCAATGAACCAGTTGATTTACACCAAAATGGATTTATTGACAAAAATAACATTTATTGGTATATTGAATTCTGGTTTACAGCAGATTGGAAATATATGTCTTTAGTTTTAGGAATTAATAGACCGACATCAAATTATTTTTGTTTATGGTGCGATTGTCATAAAAATGAACGGTGGAATATGAAACTAAACTGGCAAAATACAGAAAATACTAAAGGTATTATATAATATATTAAATAAAATAATTATATATTTTATTATATTAATTAATTAATAAGTTACTGTATATTTAAATTTAGGCCATATTCGTACAAGTTTATTAACATTTATTATCTCTACACAATGTGTACCTGATAATTTACATTTAATGCTTCATATTGTTGATATATTAATTGAATGCTTTTTTTTTGAACTAATATATGATCCAATAGCATTTGATAATAGGCCAACAAATTCAATATCTATTTGAGAAAAAGTTGAATATACTATGAAATTAATTGGCATTACATGTTTTAAATTTTTTCCTCCTGCAAAAAAAACTAAAACCACAAAATAGACCTGGTGCACTTTAATGGGACCTTCTAAACTAAAAATTGTTGAAAAATTTCCAGTTTCTACTTTCATTGATGGTA